TTTCTAAGGGAAAATGGGCTCAATGGCATTTGGTTAGAAGGAAACTTGGTGATCTCAGGAAAACATTTTGTTCTCCCATCTTGTTCTTCCCTCTTTGTTCTCCATAAAAGTAATATTGGGGGATGTTAATCAGGGGAATTTTAGTACTGCAATATTAAATTTAGTACTGAGGACAATCTAATACTTGAAAGTTTTGAATGGAATCTTCCAGTAAAACTTTGGGGTCAGTGTTATAAATATCAGGTGTAACTGTAATTGGTGTATGGTTTACACAGAATAACATTTTTGTTCTACGCACTTGGTAGGGATTGGGATGAGATGATGCCATTTTAATCTCTCCCTGTCTTTACAGAGGAATGGAAATCAGCTCTCTTCCTTCTGTGATAAGGACAGTTTATGAGATGACCTTACGACTTCATGAGCAGAAGCGAATCAGCACCAGGTAAGATACTGGGTGCTTCATAAATATAATCTCATTCAATCCCCTCACAAAGCCTTATGAGCTAAGTAGTATTTGCCCCAGTTTCACATGGAAATGGAGGCTTATCTTGGAATACATGCCCAAGGTCACCAGTTGGACACAGGAGGTGATATGGGTCAAATGTGTCTCCTCAAAATTCATGTATTGGAAACTTGATCTCCACTGTAATAGTGTTAAGAGGGTGGGAAATTCAATCATGGTACTTGAAAGGTAGAGCCTTTGAGAGGTGATTGGACCGTGAGGACTATGCTCTCATGAATAGATTAACCCATTCATAAGGTAATGAGTTATCATGGGTATGGACTGGTGGCTTTATAAGGAGAGCACATGAGAATTCTGGCCATCCTCCCCTTGTGATACCTTGTATTGCCACAGGACCCTGTAGAAAGTTCCCACCCAGAGGCCCTCACCAGATGCACTCCCTGGACTGTGGACTTCCTAGCCTCTGAAACTCTAAGAAATAAATTTTGTTTTCTTATAAATTACCCAGTTTCAAGTATTCTGTCATAAGCAACAGAAAAAAGAGGTGTGTAGTTCAGGCCTGGGACTCTAAAGCATGGGTGTTTCCCAAGACTGTCTCCAAAGCAGCCAGATATGGTATGGGGACCTCAGCAGTGATGATTTTCTACCTGGGCACAGCACCTCTCTTATAAAATAACCTATGCCTGCCCACCCAAGAACATAATTATTCTTTTTTGTTTCCCAATGATGAGAGGTTAACAGCCTTTTCTTTTTTGGTTAGACAAGGAATCATCAAGAGGGGATGAGGATAAAAGCTGGGCCCAATAACTGTTAGACAGCTCTCGTTTACTAGTTGCTTATTTGTACTTCATATATGGTTTCATTTAATCCTTACAAACTTAATTATCCTCATTTTATAAATGAAAAAACCAAGCATAGAGAGGTGAAACAGTTTGCCAAATGTCACAAGTCCCATAAACCAGAGAGCTCAGATTCAATCCCAGGACTATCTACCCCAAGAGCCAGGGCTCTTATACATGAAGCTGTGCTGCCCAGCACAAATGGGTTCGGTGAAGGACTGGAATGACAGGATAGAAAGTAAAGGCACGAAAAAGGAACAGCTATCACCACTGCAGAAAATCTATTACATAACAGGCACATTAAACCTTTGAACCTTTTGTGCTCTTGTGCAAAGACTAGAAGTTGTGCAATGAGACATTCTTGCTCTATAAGAAATTCTACTAGTGAGCACATTTCTTAACAAAATATAGGAAATCAGAAATGCGTAGGGTATGGATTCTTCAGAAAACAAGCCCAAACTCTGACCATAAATGTACCAGGCAATAAAACTGAATGAGCCAGATATGAAATAAGCCAGAAAAACTACTGTGATCCTTAGATTAAATCAGACTTCAGGAAGGCAATGCTCACTAGCTCAGCTAAAGGCAAACAGTAAATAACAATGGAGAGAAAGTCCTAGAAACACACCAGAATAGAACATATTAATCCATAATGCTCTGCAGACTGCAAACCCTATGAAGACAAAGGAGGATGTGTACTTAAAGTATTTAAAGGTTAAAAGGAAAGTCTTAAGATTAGAAAATCAGACTTACGAGAAAAAATTTGTAATAATTACATGGAGGGAGGTGTGAAAACATTTTTTCTAAGACATAAGCACTCAGGCCAAATCCAGTGACAAAGGGGAGTGTGAATAAATCTGGAAAATAACTGAGACTTCTCAGATATTACATAAAGAAGATTCTCACAGACTATTCACCGTTGGTAGGAACACCCTAGGACAATTGCAACCAATCCTATGAGTCTCTCTGGATATTTTAAGAACATAAGAAAACATCCTTAGGACATCAAAAGCTATTAAAATGAATCTTTAAACTGCAAGTCTAATCTACTCAGGTAGCTGTGAAACCCTCCTCCCTACAAACCAGAATTAATCATTAACCTCTACTATAAATTTATCATAATTATGTATTTGAAAGTTCACTTCCTTACTATTTGTCTATTTTGGGGCTCAGAGGCTGTTACCTCAAAATATGATGCTTTGACATACTGGAATAAAGAAGCAACCTCAAGGTCTCTCTGGTTCCCCCTGCCATCTGTCCCTCAATTCTCTGTCACTCTCCAAAGCATAGGATGAAGCTGTTCTCTTTTCTGCCTAAAGTCCAGACCCATCAAGGAAGAAGACAATTACCTCTGGCTCTTTCCCTAAGTTTTCATTAATTTAACTCAAATCACAGGAAGAAAAACTGAAGTCTGTCCACACACCTGAAGTTTGTCACAGACCAGTGTCTTCCTTCTATTTTGGTTCCATTCAGTATTTAGAAGAGAATCATTTACCAGTCATTGCTCTGCAGGCCGAACAGACCTTGTCCCAGGCCATTCAGTGTTCTCCAGGCCCACTGAGTCCGCCTAAAAATCATTTACTCCTACAACCCCCATCTCTCTTTTCCCTGTAAGAGAGATATGTAAGCTTTGTACCCCATGGGAAACTGGGAAAGTATTCTCTTGCAATTCCCCTTTGCATTGCCCCCTCCCAGCATGTTAAAACAGTAAAACTTGTTATGCCTTTTCTTCATATTAATCTGCTTATCAGTTGATTTTTTCAGAGAACCTTTAGGGAGTTGAAGGGGAAGTCTTCCCTTAGCTCCTGTATCTACAAGCTCCACGATAGCAAAGATGATGCTTTTTTTGTTATAACTATAGTCCAAGAACCTAGAACAGTTACTAGAATGTAATATTTGCTCAATAAATATTTCTCAAGGAATGAATGAACAGTCTAATTCTAGACCCAGATAATGTTACTTTACTCTTGCCCAAATCATATGAATTTGCCATGGTATGTCATTAAGTTCAGGAACAAAGATACCGAAAATATACAGATAAAGCTTTCTCCTCATATCAGATAACTAGTATTCCCTGTTTCCATTATGTTCTCCTAAGCATTTCTCAGTGTAAATCATGAATGTTCAATTCCATCAATCCTTATCCAGAATATATGGCACTGAGTTACGTTAATAACGGCTTTCATTATGCTCTGGGGAAACAATCTTTTTTTAGGGATCCCAGTTTTGAAAATATTTGAAATAAAAATAGAAACACTGAGGCAAGGTCACACACCTTCCACAGAGCTATAAGACTTTGCAAACAGATAAACTGTTTGAAGAATGATTAAAAATAAGTGTACTGGTTAGCAAATTAAGCACATATTAAATATTTAAAATTATGTATATAAAGAGTGCCACACTATAGAATCAAATAATGAGCTTTTATGGCATAGTCCATCACATTTTCATCTAGATTAATAGTGTTACTTTTCCACACTCACTTGCCTTCTCTGTAAAACCAAAGGAGAGAGTTAAAATGTGAAGACAAGGAGTAAAGAGTTCATGCTCATGGCCTAGCACTATCAGTCATGGTGAATGGCTTAGCTCTCATGTGAGAACCTGACATTCCATCATGGCTTCAAGTAGAACAATCTGCCCTGTGACAGCTGGTCAATCTCTTTGCAAAATAAGAAGCTTGAACTGTGTCCCCCAACTTTTATGTATTAGAAACTTGGCTCCCCACTGTGACTGTTAATTGAAAGGCAGAGCCCTATGGTAATTGAAAGGCAGAGCCTTGAAGAGGTGACTGGATTGTAGGACAGTGCAGTAGTGAATGGACTAAAAATCGTGGTCAGGTGTATGGTTCTGAGGGCTTTAAAAGAAAGAGAGAGTCTGTCTTTCTCTGCTCTGCTTCCATCATCTTGGAATGCGAGACCCCTGGGTCACTGTCACTACCACCAGATGGACTTTGGACTTCCCAGCCTCAGAAAATGCAAGCAATAAATTTTGTTTTCTTTTTTTTTGTCCTTTTTTGTGAAGGGCCGCACTGCGCTCAGCCAGTGAGCGCACCGGGGCCATCCCTATATAGGATCCGAACCCACAGCGGGAGCGCTGCTGCGCTCCCAGCACCGCACTCTCCCGAGTGCGCCACGGGGTTGGCCCAAATTTCGTTTTCTTTATAAATTATCTGGTTCTAAGTATTTTGTTATTAAGCAACGGAAACGGACTAATACACCCTCGTACATATTAAAATTAGCTTTTGTGAAAAATCAAGTAACAAAATCAAATTAAATGACCTTATTCTATACACGACAGCTTAATTTTCAAAAACAGAATCTTTCATAGGGAATTTTATTGCCTTTAAGTTTTCAGGATCTTTTGTTGGAATACTGAGTACCTAATTGCCAAATTACTGAAATGTACTTTAAAGCACAAGAAATTGATATGATAATTTATACCCAAATGAAGTAAAAACATAAAACTGACAGATATAGACATCTTCCTCTATTTCAGTGAGACAAAGTGCCTATTATCCTAGGACTCAAGCTTAAAGTTCACATTCCTTAACAAACTAAGCAAGACTTATGAAACTAGTACATGAAAATTTCTTAGCTTTTAACTTGTTTCAACAAGTGCTATGAATTTTTAATTATGTCTTTCCTGTAAAATAAAATATTTTAATACAAGCATTAAAATTCTATGATCATCACACTTACCTGTATGGCTTATCAGAGTTATGGATTCGTCTGTGGTTTCTGACACCAACATATGTTGTACTTGTATAATCACACACATCACATCTATACTGCTTCTGGACTGAAGACTTATTCCCTAGACAAGGTATTTCAGAGTTTTAGTGGCATGCTTTGATAAGACTCAGATGACAGCATTTACATTCCATTATAAATGAATATTTATACCATACAGTATTAACATTTTGGTCATGGCTTTCTCACTTTTTAAATTTAATAAGTTTGAAGTGGCTTTACAGGTTCTCCTGTATCTAGACTATCAGTGGTTATAAACTGAACTTTACCTGACTGGTAAACATAGATAAGGGGGTTGGCTTCTGTACAACCTTGTACAAAATTCTAAAGTACGAGCTTGCTTCCAGCTGCCCTGCTGACTATGTAGCAGCTAAATTAACCAGAGATATATTGTTGAAAGCTATTTAAAAGGTGTTAGACTAATCGATATTGGATATATTATCTTAAGGAAACATTGATTTGTCAATAAGCTGTAATCTAATACTATAACCTAATTTTATAAAGTGTGGCTATGAAGCATATAAAATAAACTTAATATAAAAAGCCTAATGTTTTCACCCTGTGGGTTTCCATTATTTACAACTGAATGTGAGCTATCAATGCAACATGGAAGGAAAAGCAACTGCAAATTAGTTAAGTGCCATATAATGTAGTATAATTATAACCAGTAAACTGACAGGTTATAGGGACAAAGGTTATGACTAACAAGAATATGAAGCTCTCTGAAATGCAGGAAACATGGATCCAATGGAAATAGGCCATATTACTAAACTCACTCTGCAACAACAGGGCTGGATAATTCAAGTTGGAGTAAGCTCATGGCAATACAAGTTGGACGACTTGATCACGTGAAACAGTTTCCTGAAGATATTCAATGCTTTATTTACTCTTCTGTGAGCATGAAGTCCACAAAGTACTCACACCCTGACTGCTTTCAGAAAAAAAGCTAACATGGAGGCTCAAGAAAAGCAGAGCAGAAAGAGCTGTGTGTCCCTTGGCAGGAAGAAAGCTTAGATAGAACACTAGCACACGGTGCATACAAGTAAAATTAGTGGTACAAAAGAAAACTCACACTGAAATTTCAGCAAAGAAATCCGTAAGTTAAATTTAAGCTTTCTAAAATTGATTTTTTTTGCTAATAACTACTGCCAGGCAGAACAAAATGTCCTAATTTCCTGGTATAAATCTATAACATTAATACGCATACTAATCATAATTATAATCTAAGTATTGCTCTTAATTGGTAGGTTACAAACTTGGACTTGATTATAAATGGCACTGTTCCAAATATGGTTAAAAAAAACCCTGAAAAAATGAAGTGTGAAATATTGGATAATGGTTTTATGTGAGAAATATTACAGATCAATGACAACTAATAAAACTGACAGATGGAAAGACTTAATATAGCACAAAATGAGAGCCTGTGCTACTTCAAGCAACTGTTTCCAATAGAAGGAATACTGCATTTAAAGTTCAAAAACTTGGGCTTAGTCCTTGCTCTGCCACTTACTAACACTATGATCATGGATAAATTATATTACCTCTTGAGGTCTCACTTTTCTTATCTACAAAACAGAAATACTAGAACCTCATTGTATGGTTTAGTAAGTCCTGTATTTTTCCTTCACCAAATCTGTGCATATTACCTGCATGTCTGGATAAAGTATCTGCCATACCAATAAGCTGTTGATTCCCTGAGGGTAAGAATCTGCCTGTTTTGTTTACACTTATTCCCTAGGGCTTGGCAAACTGTAGGTTTCCAATAAAGAACAATTTAATTAAATTTCACAAAGAAACACCATATGCAAGTGCTTTGCCCATGGCTCTATTAGAGCACTTGTGGCATTTGCTGACATACACATCAGTCCAGTTCTGTCTTCTTCACTGGAGTGAGTTCCTCAAGTGCAGCAATGTCCTTCATTGTACTCCTAGCACCTAGCACCGTATCTAGCTCAAGACAGGCATGCCATGTCTTTTGACCTAATGAATATCAGAAGTACAATTACACCAGACCTCTGAGTTGAAAACATGCCCTAATGTATCTATGCCATCATAATGGACATAGATTGGGGACCACAGATGCACACCTCTCCCCTCTTGTTTAATAAGTTTACTAAATGGTTAAAGAAGTTTTAACAAAACAAATTCTTTTTACCTTCTTTGTGAGCTAAAAATTTGTTCATTGGCCTGATATCAAGATTTCAAAACATCTAGTATTGAATTAATAAAGTATCCATCCAGGTATAAGTATGCAGTAGGATACCAGCCATGTGAATTGCTATACAGGTACTATTACGAAAGAGGAAAGCAAATGGAGCCAAGTGGGGGAAAAAAGGCATGGCAAGCAATTAAAAATGCAAACATTTAGGGTTGGCCCATGGCTCACTTGGGAGAGTGTGGTGCTGATAACACCAAGGCCACGGGTTCAGATCCCTACATAGGGATGGCCGGTTAGCTCACATGGGAGAGTGTGGTGCTGACAACACCAAGTCAAGGGTCTTGATCCCTTTACCAGTCATCTTTTTTTAAAAAAATAAATAAATAAAATGCAAACATTTAGCCCTAGAAAGAGAGTATGATCCATGGAGAAGAGATGCTACAAAAGGGAAATATAGTGGACAGAAGCTAATACTGTAAAGTTTGAAAAGTTTAATTTTGAGCTGACGTTTACGTCTTTTCATTAAAATTGTGAGTTTTAAGCTGTTAATCCATTTTTGCAGCTTTAAATTTTTGCTTTTTATTTATTTATTTTTTTGTCTTTTTCGTGACCGGTAAGGGGATTGCAACCCTTGGTGTGGTATCGCCCACACCGCGCTCAGCCAGTGAGCGCACCAACCATTCCTATATAGATCCGAACCCGCGGTGGGAGCGTCGCTTCGCTCCCAGTGCTGCACTCTCCCGAGTGCGCCACGGGCTCGGCCGTAAATTTTTGCTTTTTAAACAAAAAGCCTCTTAAAAAAAATTGTATTGTGTTTTTTATTTTTTTAAGTTTTTTATTATTTTTGGTGGCTGGCTGATACAGGGAACTGATTCCTTGACCTTGGTGTTACAGGCCACACTCTAAGCAGCTGAACTAACAGGCCAGTCCCCTAAATTTTTGCTTTTTAAGATGGTACTAGGAAAGACATATTCCAACACTGGTATTAACTGCAGGTGGCACTACTGAGTGGTACTTTATTCCTTCATTAAGGATTTATGGTCCAATCATATCAAATGTTTAAAGTCTCCTTTAAAGAGGATATGGAAACATAATGAATTAAAATAAAAGGAGGCATTTAGGGCTAATTTGTAAAAAGGAAACAAAACTGTTTTAGCTTAGCCATCTATCGCAGAAACAGATGCTATGTCATAAACTCCTTTTGTTTTGGATAGTTTTATAGGGATGACATCTGTTTGACAAGGGAATTTTGGTGCTATGGTGGTGTCAAAATCAGTTCTTTCAGAAACATTCTAGAATCAGTTATGTTTTCTGGGGTATAATTTAATGAAACATTATGGTAAAACATCTTACTCTGCTATCGTTTCTAACTTTAATTCTTAGGAAATTTAAAAAGGAAAGTCACCCCAATATGTTTTATTTCCCATAAACACCATGTACCACACTTGAGACATTTAAAGTATATCAATTTAAGTGAGCCGATGCAAGGAAGCACAGCTTATTACACTTTATCCCTAATTCTCCGGATGTGGCATCCGCCTTTTCATGGAATTCTAATTAAATCTTTTGATTCTAATATTCCTATTACCAGAAACTCGGCTGACTCGTACCTAACTAGTACATAAAAAGATCTTCTGTGGTTTAAAAAAAAAAAATAATGCAGATGAAATCTGGCAGTCATACTTGGATAAGAATAAGATCACAGCAGGAAGCCTCAGTTAAAGTTTGAGGTGGGGGCCTACCATCTGCAAAAGCTATGTTCTCAGTAGGTCAACTGGTACTGAGACAAGGAGAGAAGGCTTTCTTACTATGCTGCATATTCTCTGGCTTGCTAGTATGTCACCTTCTAAGGGTCTATGCTATAGTCTGGCTCCTACAATATAGCATAAATTTCAACTGTAATATCTACCTACACAGATGAAGCTGAGTCCTTACTAATCTAGTATTTCTTACCTAGGACCTAGTAATAATTTACTTCATTTAGTACTCAAAATTTCCTCAGGAACAGAGTTAAGGTTCACTCACATCCACTGTATAAAAATAGAGCATATATGCGTTAGTCCTGAAAATAACCCACATGACAAGGGTATTTTTTACTTTGAATGCTAGTCACTGTAGCCTGTATAAAAAAAATAGACAGATACCTTCCTGAACACATTTTCCATCAGCTGTATCACTGGAAGTTCTTGGCTCATTAGAAGTTGCTATTGACAAGGTATCTGGAAGACTGTGTTGCTCTCTCTCATGATTCCGCAGTTGACTCTAAAAAATTGAGAGAAATTAACAAGCAATTTTCAATAAATATACATGTCCAGTTACTAGGAGATTGTGGAAGAAGGGGTCAATTGTTTTCATGGCCTAATACTTATAATATATTACTAATATAGTTATTCCTCAGCATCCATGGGGGATTGGTTCCAGCACCCAAATTCAAGGATATTCAAGCCCCTGATACAATATTGTGTAACATTTGCATATAACTTGCACACTTCTGCCTATATACTTTAAATCAGTTCTATATTGCTTATAATACCTAATACAATGTAAATGCTATGTAAATGGTTGTTATACTGTATTGTTTAAGGAATAATGACAAGAAAAAAAGTCTGTACATGTTCAGTACAGATGCAATTTTTTTCCCCCAAATGTTTTCCACCCACAGTTGGTTGAATCTGTGTATGTGGAACCTACAAATATGAAGAGCTGACTGTATTTTAAAATCAAATCTGCTAAAAGATTATTTAACACATCTGACAGTTTATAAAAAGAAATACACTAGGGAAATCATAATCCCATGGAAGGCAGCTCCTGTTTTCATATTCTCCAAAAGGAAGTCACTGCTATCTTAGGAGGTGTTTATGTATGGCGTGAGCATGCTTACTGAATCACTGGCAGTCCTAGAGGAGGAAAGAGCGGAGTGTTCAGAATAACGAAACACTTTCACAAAAATAAATCCAATCAGTAACCACTGGACTCCTGCTAATTTTTACCTTTAAATAGTGTATCAATTAAACTGTAAGAAAGACCTAATAGAAACTGCTCCTCCAAGGATATCCTCCCCCTCCCCTTCCATTCCAATGAATCAAGAGTACAGCAGCAAAAGAAACTCCCGGAAACTTCTGGAATTTGCCTCTGCAGCCTGTTTGGATGTGTTACTTGGAATTTCATGAGGGTAATACAAGCAGCAGTGAATCTCAGACTTGGAGGCTTTTTATTCCTGATTTTATTTTACCACCAGCTAGACCCCAACTGTGGATAATCTGAGAGAAAAAGTCTACCTCCCAGTTAGCCCTTTAGAATAAATTTTTAAAAATTTAAAAATGTTTAAAGAATTTCTTGCCTTTGTCCAGTATCTCGATCTAAAAGGTTTATATTCCCATAGTGCACTTGGCACATTGAAGAAAAGTTCTAAACCAATGATTTGATGAATGTAAATTTCCTTTACAAAAGATAGCATTTCATACTGGCTGTTGACTTTAAGGTCAGCACATAAGATGAAAATCAGAAAGTCAAAATAACCCTTGAAAGTCTGTTAAAGTGCCTGTACAACATAGCATACATAGCTCTATTTCCACTGTACTGCCTTTCAGTAAGGCCAATATAGCCCATTTTACCTTATGCAATGATACAAATCAGTGTTTGTTGGTTATGTAACAGCTGAAGTGAGTAACTTACATTCTGGGGCCATGTAAGATAAAAAAATACATACTTTTTGCCTTGGTGATGTTCAATTAATTATGTGTAAAGCGAATGTGTGTATGATGTCAATCTACTGTACAGTCCCTTGTAAATTCCCTTGAGATTGAAAATCAACACTTTTTTGAAAATCAAGACATACACACTAAAACACTAATAAACACAGAGGTTGGTAACAGGAGACAGGGGACAGAATCCTATAGCAGAATTTCTGAAGACCTAGATTTCAGTCTCAACTTTAACACTAATTAGTTGGGATCCCCTGGCAAATTATCAAACTTTTCTGAGACTCAGTTTCCTTAGCTATAAAATGAGGTGGTTGGATTACATCTACAAAGTTCCCTCCTCGCTCTAAAATTCTAAAGTCTTCTGAAAGATTTCATGAACCAATACTTACCTTATAATGAAAAGATTCTTCACATTGCTTGCATTGGTATATTCTTGTTTTACAGTGGTTGATCATGTGGGTCTCCAAGTTCTTGCTGTTGTCAGCTATGTGCTCACAGATGGGACACTGATATGGCTGTCTCTGTCGATGGACTCTCAAGTGCTGCTTGATATAGCCCTTGTTACCACTTGCATAGTGACACAAGCGGCAACGGTAGGGTCGTTCAGCATTGGGGATGTATTCCACCACATTGTTTCCTGACAAACTTGTATCACTGTTGGGTTGGCACTGGGCATTGTCCTGCAACTCTTTCAAAATGTCATCATCTGAAGCATTTTGGTCTGTCCTTTCTCTCAATTTTTCAATTACGGTGAGTAAGGACATGCTGATGCCTGTCTTAACTTGCCCATCTGACAATTCTTGCTTATCCTCAGGGAGTGCTACAAAGGTAGAGTTGGTTTGGTTAAAACTAGTTAATCCATCTGAAGAGTTTTTAAGTGGTGACATCATTTTTGTATATGCTACCAATGTACTATCTACTTGCCTTTGTCCAGTATCTGGATCTAAAAGATTTATATCCCCATAGTGCCCAAGGTTGGCCCTTGTTAGTTCTGCAGCTCTTATAGGCATTGTGACAAGGGCTTCTGCAGCTAATGAATGTAGTCGAAGAGACTCAGAATTTGTCCTTCTTCGGCCTGGTGGGGCATTCTCATCAGTAGCCAGGCCTTTACTTATTAACTCATTGTCTTTCTTCTCTGAATTGCTCCAACCTATGATCAAGCCCCCAATATCAACAGTACATTTCTCAGCGTGATAAACATCATCTGTTCTTTTGCACCCAATCTGGGCTTCTGTTAAAAAGGATAATATGCAACAGACAGGAATATCAGGTTATAGGATAATTACATGTATGTAATTCAGGAAGAATATGCCAATTTTAGTGTCTAAACTAATCCAAATATTCCCTAGGCTGGGAGCTCCTTATCAATGTACCTAGCTATCCCCAAAATAGACTTAAATTGTACAGAATTTCTTTTTGGAATGCAATCTCCTATCAAGACTGATGGAGATCTCTCCATCCTTCACTTATTTCTTTGGAAATGACTTTTAACAATTTTTATCTCCTTTTTTCTTCACTTCCTTTGCCCTTGACATTTAGTTGGACACAATCAGTATTCCCTCCCTTTTGCACAATGCCAAGGGAAAAAAAAAAGACTCCTATTCCTTGATTAAAGGAACACAGTCACTCTCAAGGCATGTAGAACCACCTCATGTTACTGTGAAACATTATTCTGCAAAGCCAAGATGATTGATACAATTCTTGAGAAACTTTTTTTTTTTTTTTGCACACTGGCAGGTACAGGGATCTGAGAGAAACTATTTCTTACACCAAATATAACTGTATTTTTATTACCAAAACACAAATTTCTATTTTATTTTCCCCAAATCTTTGGAATTGTGAAAACATAGTCATGGGCTGGCCCATGGCTCACTCGGGAGAGTGTGGTGCTGATAACACCAAGGCCATGGGTTCAGATCCCTATATAGGGATGTCCAGTTAGCTCACTTAGGAGAGTGTGGTGCTGACAACACCAAATCAAGAGTTAAGAACCCCTTACCAGTCATCTTTTAAAAAAATTAAAAAAAAAAAAAGTCATGTAACTATTGTAAAGGGCATAGTGAATTTTGAGAAGTACTATGCAAATGAAACTAAGTAAAAGCAATAATCCAGTTCCTTCTTTTACTTCCTTTGATTTATCTTCCTGAAGATGAACCACAAATTATGTTGTGGTTTTTTCCTAGAGGTTATATTAGTGGTCAGCTATTACTCATACCCACATATATGTGGGTTTTGTTTTTTTTTTCCCTGAAAGAGAAAGGGACACCAGAGGAGGAAAAAGTTGATATCCCAGTTGTTTCAGATCCAGATATGAACAGAATCCACAGAAGGGGTTATCTGGAGGTTCCAATAATGCATTATGGCCAAGGAAGTCACTAAACGTAAAATACTTATAAATCTTTCCACCGAAGTCTTGAATACTCTTTATGTTTCCTGGCAATACTTTCATTTCAAACATTTCCTTTGGCTTAAAGGGAGATTAATTTGTTGACTTCGATCACATTTTTAAGTTTAGGCTTTTTTCCAGCAACAAGTTTTGTTTTTCCACATTTTAGGTGCATTCTGGAATCTTATTCACAACATTCAATAAGCGCCAGCAAAATTTTTAGTGGCACTAGCTATAGACCAAAGACCACATTATTCTTAAACTTCAGTCACAGGCCCTGAATTCTCATTTCAGTGCTGAATCATGGCTCCTCTGCCCCACATGGCTGAAACAATACATAAGGGCCCGTCTGTCCCTGCCAGGATCATACCTAAACTGTCCTGCCAGACCCCACCAGTGCTCTGACCAACTTTAGTGCCAGTTCGCCCACACCAACTCTTGGCAGCAGTTATGGCATTTCCTCTCTCATTTTCTATTCCTCTGACACACCAGCTTTCTATATCTACATCCACATCAGGCAAAAATGCAAACGTTTTACTCTTGGCTTCTTTAGTACTACTTCTTTCCTCCTTCCTAATACTCTGCCCAATGGAATCAGCTTTTTTCTCTTTTCCACAGACTTCTTCTAATTGCCCTCATGGCAGGGAATACATTCCGCAGCCATTACAACCATGACAGCTGTCCCACCTTCCAAAGGCCAGTGGTCCTTCAGCTATTCTCTCCCCTAAACAACCTCTCAAAAAACTAGTTCCTTTTCATCTTTCTCAGGTAGAAAGAACAAAAATCTTTTTAGATCTCTATATTCAACCTTAAGTCACTAAAGAGGACACCAATGGGGGAACAACTTGTTTCTTTAGAAAAACACTTTTGTAACTTCGTATGTCATTTAATTGCCTTGGAATTCCACATGTTTTTTTTTTTCCTTTTTGTCTTTTTTCGTGACCTGTAATGGGATCGCAACCCTCGGTGTCGCGCCCGCACCGCGCTCAACCAGTGAGCGGACCAGTCCCATATGGGATCCAAACCCTTGGCAGGAGCGCTGCCACGCTCCCAAGCACCGCACTGTACCGAGTGCGCCACCGGGCTGGCCCGGAATTCCACATGTTTTTTTTTTTCCTTTTTGTCTTTTTTCGTGACCTGTAATGGGATCGCAACCCTCGGTGTCGCGCCCGCACCGCGCTCAACCAGTGAGCGGACCAGTCCCATATGGGATCCAAACCCTTGGCAGGAGCGCTGCCACGCTCCCAAGCACCGCACTGTACCGAGTGCGCCACCGGGCTGGCCCGGAATTCCACATGTTTAGGCCAAGGGAAGCTGTGGCTCTTCTTGTGACTACTGATAACCCTTTAGGGTCATTAATTTAAGGCTTTATTTCTTTCAGTTCAATTGTTAAATGCAAATTAGTTAAATAACAAATTTAGTAATAGTAATCCCTGAACAGTCAATTTCTTGGACAAGACATGGTTCTCTACTGTAGGTCTAAGGTCTCCTTTCTTTCTCATGAAACGTAACATTCATGTAGGCTGATAATCTGGAGGTTAACAAGTGAATGTTTGTGCAACAGATTTTGCACACACAGGGTTACAAAGGTAACTCATGTTATTGCCCTTCCACTTAATGATATAATAGGAAGGAGACAGAGTAGTGCACAGTGCACATTGCTCCTTGTGGATATTTCAGTGTGTACCTTAAAAAGAAAGTAAAATGAAGAGGAGGAGGAGGAGTTCATCTTATCTCAAGAGAAAGTCTAATACAAAAGAATCTGACAAAACACTCAGATTTTTAAAGCTGTGTCTGCTCAGGCATCAAGAGCTAATGGAAATTTGCAGCAGATGCTCCAATTTTCCCTGAACATTTATGTAAGTATCTCATTTTAGAGGCTGCATACATTTGGGGATAAGTACAATAATGGCAGCTATAAAACAGATATGATAACATAAAATACATCAAGAAACACCTGAAAAACCAGTTTAGGTCCATGTGCAAAATCAATGCACAAGTTAAATCTCATTAAAACAAAAATCTCTGTTAAAACAAAGGTTAAATAGCTCATAGTAAAGTATGCACAGAGCGGGAAGCTACCTTAAGGCTAACTCTTCAAATTTGCTCAAAAATTTTACATATAAATACACACACACACACACACACACATAAATCAATGTAAACACAACTTTAAACAATTACCATGGGGGTGGAGAGGGTGGGGAGAAAGTAAGAATGACAAATTCTGCAATGGGAGTTGAGTGATGAGTAACTAGAATTCGTTATCCTATTCTTTCTACTTGTGCAAATGTTTAAAATTTTTTATAATAAAATGTTACAAAAAATTGTTACGTGCAAGGCACAAAGCAAAGTATCAGGAGGAATGGAAAAAAACTTAATTCATAGTACTCTTAGTTTAAAATTGAGTTGAGTGGATAAGACAAACATATTTACAAGTTAAAAAGAAAAGAAAAAAAAAGAATTATGTAACAGCTTTTAAAAATGCAATATACAGAAGGTAGAACAGTCAGAAGGCAGCAGTCAATGACCAAGTCCTAACAGAGACTGAAGAGCTCTTTGGGGCTAAGAAGTTTAGGCAAAGGTTTCTTGAAAAAGTAAGATGTACACTGGATCTGGGAGGATGGGCAGTGTGCCACACATCATCCGTTTGCCCTCTGGGCTCACTGTATCCTCCTCTCCATCCTGTTCTCTGTCCCAGGAGGGATTACACCTCATTAGGCTCCCCTGCCCTCTGGTTTCTGGTTGAGTTCTGCCAATGCAGAGCCATACAAGATCAGAGGGAGGCAGGAGAGTGAGATCAGGATGTTCACTGTTTTGGTTCCCTACCTCTAGGTCACGTTGGCCTGGCTGTGTTCCTCAACAGAAGGCACTTCTCTTCAGGCAGGCTGCTCTACAAGACCCTCCTTCTGGTTCTGGTATCTCTCCCTTCTTCTGATGTTGATAGCTCCAGAAAAATGCATCATCCCTGTCAGCCCAATACCGTTATTATTAGTATCTTTGTAAATATACCCTCCTTGAATTATCCTAATTTGAGAATGTCATTTGTTTCCTTGGAATACTGTTGATATAAATTGAGGGTATCTTATTAAATTTTTAGAAGTGAGAATAAGAATGCTATCTAGGGATTAGTGAAAAGATCAATATGGCTGAATAGGAAATTCACTAGGAAGAGAAAAACCCAGAAAAACAGATTTCTCATTTGCAATCTTTAGACATAACATTAGACCAAATACCATCATACACCACATAACATTTGGGTCAGTGATAGACTGCATATACTATGGTGGCTATACCATACTGCCTAGGTGTGTAGTAGGCTGTACCATCTAGGTTTGTGTAAGTACACTTTGTGATGTTTGCACAATGATGAAATAGCCTAACAATGCATTTCTCAGAACGTATCCCCATTGTTAAGTGACACATGACTATATATCAAATTGTTACCAATAAATAAAATTCTATCCCAAACCAGAAAAGTTCTACAACCTTTCCCACTGAGTCTCCCAAAACTTTCCTTGATGACAGTATTCCACAGGCAAACACTTATAATTAGTGTCTTCCCCAAGAAAAGTTAAGAGCCAAATTATTTCAGTTGTCTTTATTTCTTTATAATTTGCTATTTGGCTTATTTGTGTATGTAATTACTTCCTTTTAGTTTAGCAGTATGGTTATAAGTAAAATCAAGGTGAACAATTCGTGTGGGCCTAGAGAAAAAGGTTGCAATTTTCTGTGTATACATGAAGGCAGTACAATATGCTGTAAAGAACCTTCTCTTTTGGATTAAGAATTTGTTCTTTTCCAACTAGAAAAAAAAGTGCTATAAAAGAGAAAGCCAATCAATTCCCATTCTTCCTGATTATCATCATTTAAAAATAGAAACATTTATTTTGATCCAGCCAAAAGAAGGCAGGGGACATAAGCTCATAGGTCATTCCTCAAAATTGCCCTGTTAGTTGTGTGACCTTAGGCAAGTCACTATCTCTCTAGGTTTTAGATTAGATTCCTCAGATGTAAAATGAGAGGGTGGAGCTGAACGAACTTTCCCTGAATTATAAATTGTCTATAAAAAGTTACCTGGAAACTGCTTACACATTATACATTTATCCTACTAATGTTACTAATTACTTTCAACTTCTTTGATTTAAAATCTCCTTAGCTCAATGTAATTACTAATTGCCAGTAAGATAAAAACAGAGTATAAGTATCACAAGTTTAGAATTTCTTAGCTGGCACTTAGCCTGGGAGAATATTCTAATTTGGCAGCTGCAATTAAGACATAAGGTCTAACATTAACCAATCTTCAGATTTATTCTATCATTTATAGAGCACTTACAACGTGCCAGGCAGGCACAGTGCTGGAGACTACAAAAATGAGTAAGAGGGAATCCTTGCCCTTGAGATGCGAGTCCATGGAGTAGTGCCTATGTACATTTTGTACAATACTCATGTAATTCTTGGTAATGCCAGCCTCTTTTTTGCAGATGAGGAGCCTGAGGCTCACAGATGTAAAGTCGTAACTAGTTTAAGAACTGGTGTCAAAGGCCTATCTGATTCTAAATCACGTTTTCTCTAATATACCAATTTCCCCGTTAATCCTCAGTGAGAACAAAAATGTATAATGTATCCACATTGGAAAGAACAACAGCCCCTTAGAGCTAGGCTGTATCAAACATATTTGATCCCGATCCTTGTAAACTATTTGAGGCAGGCTAGGTGTATGTTACACAATTTTATAAATAAGGAAACACTCAGTGTGGTTTAAGTGACTTACCCAAGGTCACACAGCTGTTAAGGGGCAGAGACAGTGTCTTTCGAATCAATTCCTGAAATTAATACAGTCCCTTGGATCAATCTTCAAAATCCAGCTGTGGCCAAGAATGGAAGTATATAGTATCAAATATTTCTCTTTCCTGGTGAAACAGTGATTTTTTTTGGTAGTGAAAAATTTCCCAATATTCCACGTCAAAAAAATTCAGAGGAATGTTCATGCAGCCCAATTATGTGATGCAGATTTACAAAATTTAACAAATAGACTTGAGGATGTTACAGAAGTTAAAAAAAATTAGCTCTGGAGACATCTTCCAATAATTGTATATTTTGTTTTACTTCAGAATTTAGGGAATTGACTCAAAACACGATTAGTTTTACTGACATCACTTTCTAATCAGTATGGAACAATAAAATGCATACTGCTATCTTAATTTTTTTTTTTTTTTTTTGTCCTTTTTGAGACCGGCCGCACCCAGCCAGTGAGCGCACGGGCCATCCCTACATAGGATCCGAACCCGCGGCAAGAGCGCTGCTGCGCTCCCAGCGCCGCACTCTCTTGAGTGCGCCACTGGCTCGGCCCCTGCTATCTTAATTTTAACCAAAAAATACAATCTATAGTGTGAATCTGCAAATTTTACAAGCACAGTGGGCAGAATGGTACCATGAAAAAATATGACACAGTCGTGTGACCTAATATGAGGATACTTCAAAAAAGTTCATGGAAATGCCAATTAGCTCCATTGGTTAGAGCCCAGTGCTGGTAACACCAAGGTCAGGGTTCTGATCCCTGCACTGGCCAGCTGCTCCCCCTCCCTCCAAAAAAAGCCTAATGAAACAAAAAGTAATGCAGATCTTTCCATGAACTTTTTGAAGACCTCGAGTATCTTCTAAAGCAGTTTACTGCCCGGGTTCCACATTTCATTGCTTCTGTTTCTTATACGAGCTGTAATGAACCTAAAGGTCAAAGAATTAGTTTCAGATAGAATGCAACTGCCTTATCTATTACGTTTAAGTAAAACAGTTCACTGCCAGGGCAGAGAGCAAATCTTCGGGCCTACACTGAAGTTAATTTTCAACGAGTTAGTGAGGTAAAAGAATGAAGGGCCAGGCTCTCTCTCCTTATCAGCAGCGCAACCCCATCCACTGAATCTGAGACAGTGCTGAAGAAAGCGCAAACTCAAGGAGGTGATAAATACAGTAATTGCCTGATCAGAGCTATGCAAACTGATAGCAAATTACAGCCCACCGCAGGAACTAAAAAAGACAGCCTTCGGGTAGGGAGGGTGGCCTCGCCTAATTAATCATCCAGGCCTTCCACACAAACCATTCCCTCCGGGTGTCCCCAGATGGGAGTTTTTCCCAACGGTCTCAGTGATCTCTGGGGAAATTATTCCATCAAGATGGAATAAGTGCAGAAAGCCAGGATTGCTTTTCTGTACTAGCTTTTTCTACAACACGCAGTGGCTAAAAGACTGGGGCCATGGGGTGCTGAGAAAAGTAAGAAAGAAACGCGGCGAGAACACTGTTGTTAGCTCAGTCCCGGAGGGCCTAAGCGATCTCACGTCCTCGGAGAGGAAGGAAGCAACGCCTCGGGCGGGCCTGCCTGGGGTGACAGTATGCGGGGAGCGGCGGGTTCCCCACCCCCGGCCGCTGAGCAAGCTCGGAGTCTCCGCAAGCCGTGATGTGGACGGAACAGAGGACAGAAAGGGAACACAGAACTTGGGGCGTGTGGCAAGCACCAGGCGGTGTCGGCCGGCAGAGGAGGAAGCGGGCGCCTGTGGAGGCCTGAGGGGAGGATGCACATGGCCGGCGGCGGCGCTAACAGCCGGCAGAGGGGCGGCCCCGGGGCGCGGTACCTGCGGTCGGGCGGCGGCTGCTGCTTCCGCGAGCCTCCTTTGGCCGTCCAGGACCCGGCCGTGCCCTCGCCCTCGTCCTGGTCCTCGCCTACTTCTCTCCCGGATCTTTTCCCTCTTTTCCCTCGCTTTCCCCCTCCTCAACAGGAGCTCCAAAATGGCGGCGCTGGGGACGGATCACGTGAGCTTCGGGCAGGTCAGGTGACCCGAGTGGCGGGCGGCAGGGGCGGGGCGTTGTCCAGGCCCGGCCCACCGGCGTCTCCGGCTGCTGGGGCTCGGCTGGCGGGAGGCAGGTACCGGTCGGCTCAGTGCAATCCGTCGCACCCGGGCGGGGTGGAGGCCCGGGTTGTCCGTCTGTCACGGCCCCTGCGTTGCCTTGTCAGTGGTCGGCTAGGTCTGGAAGTGGATACACACGCATCCACTGTGGTGTGTTCCCATGTCGCCTAAACCTGCTGCGGGCCGGCTTTATCACCCCACACACCCCGTAATTGGCTTTCAACAGCGGGCATGGACATCCTTTTCAGCCCTATGCTTCTGAATTTGTGTTATTTCTTTTGGCTGGGCTTTAGTGTTTGAGGTGTTCTTGGCTAAAGTGTAAAGGTCATGGCTAGGTTCATGGCTTTACCTCAGGTGCCTGGTGAGGGGCACAGCGGGCCCTGGGAAATCCGTTTGCTTGAGAGATTGCGGATTTTTCAGGAGTTGTAGGGCCGTACTTGGTAGCTTGATCCCGTACACTTCCGTCGCCTGAGAGCACCATGGCGTTTGTCATTTGGATGTGTTTCACGAAATACACAGCACGGTGTAAGCAGCCCTGTTTTGGTTTCCCTGCTAACGGAGTGAAATACAGAGTGAGTGATGCATTCCACCCAACTTCACCAAAAATACTGGACAATTTTGGTATATTAGGAGCTACACATCGGGGTAGCAAGGTAGGCGGACTCAGCAGGTGGGCCGCGGACAGGAGGGAGGGAGTAACACTGAAGATTCTGATTATAATAATGGACTGCACTCATTTGGTGAGGTTCCTCTTGGGGGCTTCCAGATATACAAGTATTTAGACACCTTTACAGCAGGCTAGGCTGTCAATGATCAACTGGGAGGAAGATCCAACAAAATTTATCATTTCTGTTCAGATAGGTTGGTAATTCTTCGTATTTACCTCAAGACACAAATTCACCTGAATTTGGGGGTTGGGAAACTAGCAATTTTGAATTTCTGCTATTCCACAGAATACTTTGCCAATTGGACCAAATAGCTAAGAAGAAGCAAAAACAAAGGGTTGAGTAATTTTTTATCCATTAAAAGGGAAGAGATTGAGCAGGGGACTAGCAAAGGAAGGTGGAAGGAAAAAAAGGAAAACCAGAAATACATGAAAGGATGGAAATAAGAATACACTAATGTGGACTTCTGTTCTTGAGCTACTGACACAAACAATCTTAGTTTATAACTATGTGGAAAGAGGCTTTTCTTTAGTAATGTCTTAACCGTGTTGTCCATGAATCTGTGCAGAAATCAGATAATTATTTCATCAGGGGAGAGTGCAAAAATAAAATAGAAAAAAAAATAGGGAAAATAAGGGACTTCTAAAATAAGTGAAAGAAGGCAAGTGTATCTTTGCCTGGAGTTCCTGCAGTAGTCATTATTGGTTTAGTCATTACCAACTACTTCCCATTGTACCTCTTCCAGCACAAGGTTAGATAGAACTCCCTGGCCCTCTTGTGGCTCAGGGGAACGGCCTGTGCCTGGTGTTGGCTAATGAATCATGTGTGAAAGTGAGGGGCATCACCTCCATACTGGATCATTTATTTGCCAGTGCAGTTCCCTCCAAAATACTCTTTTCCCTCTGGCATGATGACTGGCAATGTTTGAAATGGTGGCCACGCTGTCAGCCTTCATCTTTGAGCAACAGTAATGAGCTTAGCCCCCCGCTGACCCACAGTGGATATGTAAGCTGAGCGAGTAACTGAGGTCTTGGAGCTGTTTATTACTGCAGCGTGACATAGCCACTGCTGACATTCCTACCTACACTGAAGTAGCTGGAAGACACAGAGCCAAAAAGAAGAAACCATTACAGGCAGAAAGGAATATTAAAGAATTAGAACCTTCCTTCCTGAAGACTGAGAAAGGTATAAGATGCAAAATCTGATAGAAAAACCTAGACAACTTCAAAAAGTCAGTGGCACAAAACCTTAGTACTTTTCTTTCCTATAAAAGAGCTCCCTAGAAAACTGCAGTAAACATTTTTAAGTCAGAGAAATACAAAGACATTTAGATGTAGTTCCACTGAACTTGTGGACATCTCATCTAAACTCTTCTCAGCACTTTCCACCTGCCACAGAATGTTATTTATCATGATTTAATTAACCAGCCATAGTAAGATTTAGTGTTATAGATAGGAAACTTGCTTACTCAGTTATCTAGCACCTGTTCAGTGGAATCTGATTTTGCTGCAGATGAGAGATGACCCAAATAACTGAACCCCTATCTCTACACACCTTATTATTCTACTTTGGGGTCATCAATTAGTTGATGAGGTTAAAGGTTTCACTTCTTCTACAAGTATCATGGGTCTGTATCTCCTAAAGTGACCAGAGAGTCTGATAATACATAGTGCTTTACAACTTAAACCAGAGCACTGTCTAAATTTTGGAAACCATAAGGACAGTGCAGTGAGTTAGTTGCCAGGGTGATGCTGACTGGTTACACACAGAATGAGACACCAAACCAGTTGAAACTTGAGGAAGACCTACTTGTTTCTAGCCGTGGGGCTTATGAAGGACACCTTGTCTTTGGTGTAATAAGATTAGATCAGATTTCTTTTGAAGGGATTAATCATGTAAGTCTTTGGTACAGCACAGAAAATTGGATAAGACATGTGGCCTGAATTTCCTTTAGCTGTAAGTTTAATCATGACCTTTAAAAAATATACCTCCTCAAAAAAAGAAAGACTGTGGAAGGGTGAGAGGATGCAGGAGGCCTAAAAGGGAAAAGGATGTGGTGGTGTGAGCTGAGAAGATAAACTCGAAAATTGTTTCTGACTTTGCTGTTTAGTTCCTATGGGACTGTGAGCAGGTGGGCTCCATCTTTCTGACATTTTCACCTTGCGTGTAAAACAAGAATTTATCCTTTTTTTGAGCTTCAGATGTCTGGTGTATGGAAATATGGAGTTTAATTATAGGAGTCCTCTGGGTTCAAAATGGGACTTCATCATTAAGAATAATGGCAAAGCTTGATTTTATTAATGAATGAAAAGATTGCTTGATGTAACTCAGAAGAAATGTAAGATTAAAAGACGTGATATATTATTATATATACAGCTGTCAGTAATATATTAACATTAGCTCTGGGTTCCTTACACTTTGCATCCTGAATGTAGACCTAGAAATACTTTATAATTATAGTTCAAGTCTCAAGAATCATCATAAATTATCCATTTGTCATTCATTCTTTGCTAAAAGCCACAGACCTACATTATTTCAGCAGCACATCGACATCTAAAATCCCTGGTGCTACAAGGCACACATATTAATTTATTTCTTATTGAAGTTTCAAATAAACCAGAAGCAACCAACTAGGAATAGAAAGAAGAGGAGAAAGAGCAGAGAACCTGATTGTGAGAGTCGGAGCTTGCATTAACTTTCTAAGCTTAACTTTCAGCTTAGCTGTTTTGGGTCTGAGGTGCTAATTGGTTTAGAAAAGGCCTCCCAAGGAGCTCAGACATTTATAGCGCATATAGCAGCCTTGCAGTCAAGGTGAGGATGGAAGTCTGTCTAGAGTTCTAGCCCCACGACTCTAACTAATACTCAGGACCTGGGTATAAGGACAAGAATCAATGGTGGTGACATCTAGTGGCCTACCTGGAATGTGCAGTCAAGCCACAAAGCACTCCAGTGGGAAGTGGGACATTTGCCTTGTCCAGCTAACCCAGGCCTGACCCCAAACCCCTGAATCAGTTTAAGAGTTTGGTTTCTGGCGGAGATTCCCTGAATTCATGTTGATTTATGGTTGGGATCCAGGAAACGCAGCAGCAGGCTGAGAGTGGAGGTGGAGAGGGGCTGCTTTTGAGGACGACAGGAGGCTCCTTCCAGTCTAGTCTGCATATGCCACAGACTTGTGCTGCGGCAAAGCGTGGCTCGGTGGAGCTACGCGATGGAGCAGGGAGCTTGCCTCCGCCAGACTGTCTCTCTGCTACAGCGCAGACTGGTTGTTGGAACGCTCAAGCAATTTTCAGTCGTCTTTGTCAATAAAGTCAGTCTCTTCTCTGTAAGGGGAATTAAAATGAGATTTTGAGACCTCCAAAGGGCTCTCTCCTTTTGCCACTTTATCTACCCAGGAGCCAGATAGTTGCTCAGCTGAGTTGGGTGCTAGCTATTTGCTATGCCCCAAACCCTGTTGACAGGTAATACCACCTGCTTCTGAACGAGACAATGTGATTGTAATAGGATGCTGTTAAATTCTTCCCAGAGAAGCAGTTTCCTTAAAGCATTGACCTTTATTGATGAGAGGGACGGAGGAAGAAAATGAAAAGAAAAAGATGAAGAAAGACACTAAGAGGAAAAGTAACTGCTAATCAGACCAAGAAAGCCCAGCTAAGGGGTAATCCTGTGACCTAAAAATATGTCATTTGTTATTTTGACAGCTCCTCTTGAGGTGATAGACTAGGAGGAGCCGCTAGCATCATCATCTGGCTGGGAGTTCTACTTCTTGCTTCTTTAAGACATTGGTAAATGGATAATCATAGATAGCAAGTAGTCTACCTTCTGTGGTTCTCCAGCTGTGAGCTCCTCATGTGTTGGGGAAGACCAAGCATAGGGAACATGGTATAGTGTTTGACCTTCTGGGATGTTTTTTTCATTGAGAAAGATGAGAGAGAGAAGGGGAAGAGAAAATGCATACAATACCCAGAGAAAGTCCACACCACAAATTTTATGCCCTTTCTGACCTCATCATAAGCTCTGTTAAACCATAAGGTGGAAGGCCCAGCTGAAATCTGTTGTGAACTGGAAGTGGCATATCCAGAGTAAGGCGTGAGCAGGGCTGCAGGGACAGGTAAGCTTCATGGGGAGGTGGCCAGGCTCCCACATTACCCACCTTTCTTGCACCAGCACTTCTTCAGCTCACACCTCTAGACCCCATGCAGGGAGATCCCTCCACCAGCTAATGGGAGGGAAATGCCCGAGCTGAGCTCGATAATGGGTCAGCTTGGTATGTGGGAAAAAATGGGACAACATGAATAGAGGTATGAGCTGAGAGTGGACACAGTGGATCTGTCTGGCATGGAGGGCTCGGAGTGGGAAGCAGGGAGAGCTATGTCCAGAAAGGCACATTGGTGCTGGGGCTAGATCAGGCAGAGTCAGGCCCAAGCATCTGTTGAGGGCCTTCCTGATGGACCCTGTGTTAGGGGCTCTACTGTGCTGTTTCACACATCTTTGTGTACTTAGCTCTATTGTCATTAATTACATGTGTAATCACTGTCTCAACATCTGTCTACCCTGGTGGAGAATGAGCTCCAGGAACCCAGGGAACTTGTCAGTCTTGTTCATTGATATTCCCCCCTGGCCTAGAACAGGGCTTCATTCTGTAAATACTCAGCAATCGAATGAAAAAGTGATTTCATTTAGCAGACATCCTCCCAGGCATGGACTTCATTGAAGGAGCTACTCAAAAGCAGTCTTTTGGGAATATAGGGCATCTGGTGGAGGGCTGGAACCTTAGGAGAGAGAATAAAGATGGCATCCAGTTAGGGACCTGGGAGTT